GTGCCCATGGGAGCGGGACTGGGTGGCAGCCTCAGGGCAGCTCACCAGGGCCAAGTGAGGGCGTGCCACGCACAGAGTCAGGCCACGGCACGGCAAATGTTATTTTAAATTTAGCTCCTAAAACTGCTTTGCCACTCGGGATGTTTATAAAAACAAGCCTGATTTTAAAATAAAGGCAGAAAGTATCCACTTAATTCTTCCTTTTTAGTAAGTCACACTGGTTTGTTTGTCCACAGGCTTTTCTTTTGTCTTTTCTTTACAAGCAGTATTGGGCATTTACATTGAGCTACATCCCCAGCCCACTGTTTTGTTATTGCAAATTTTTATTAGTACATATTTCAATACACAGTGAAGACATCACTGGGGGGAGTTGGCACAAGCACCTGTCACACCTAGTCCTTTTCATTTCCCTTCCTCCCCTCTACCTCCCTGCCTCCACTCCTGGGTCCCCTTCCCATCTACGAAAGGTCTCCCTCTCTGTTTCCTGTCATTTCTCTCTGATTTTGCTCTTTAAATTATTTACAGTTTGGGTTTCTCGTGTAAAAGAGCATGTAGTACTTAACATCCTGTGTGTGATTTATTTCTCTCACCATTATGGTCTAAAGGTATTTTTACTTCGAGACAGGGTCTCACTAAGTCACTAAACTGCCGAGCCTGGGCTCAAACTTGCAACCCTCCTGCCTCAGCCTCCCAGAGTGCTGGGTGTTTTTATGCCATCATAATTTTCTGACCTACAGTTCTATGGCTTGATGTCTTCACATAGCACATCAGATGATGCATCAGTCTGTGTTTCTGGGTACACTTCATGATCATGATAGTTACTGATTTGAAAGCACTTTACACATATATGCAGCAATTCCGACATCCTTTCCCACGGCTAAACATTTCAGTCCTGTGGAAACAATGAACACTGTTATGTTATATTTTTCCGTTCATTGGATAAGTTATTAAAATAGAGACCAAGGCATCACAGCTCCTAACAAAGGTACAGTGATGTTTGTTTCTTGTTGATAAGCATTTCCATGCTGCTCTCACCATGTCTCAAATTCATTACATCTTCATCTGTTCAGGTCAACTTCTTATTATTTTCAGTGGAACTTGCATTTTAAATCTGTTTGACTTTCTCTTAGTTGCTTTTCTTGGTGTTGAGACAAAATACCCACAAGTTAAGGGAGGAAAGGTTTATTGGGTTCACAGTTTGTAGAGGTTTCAGCCCATAATCATCTGGCTCCAAGGCAGGGTGGCCTGGCAGAGGGCATCGCAGAGGAGAAACAGTTCATTGTGGGCAGAAGGCAGCAAAAGCAAGCTGGCAACCCAACAACAAGGACAGAGCAGTCCTCCTCTGGTCCCTTATATCTTACCAGAGCTTCCCACCCTTAGGGCAGGTAGTACCCCATCCTAATCCTACCATCACATCCTTGATCCCAGCATCACTCACTCTAGATCCAGCCACCTTTGAAAAGCCCACCCATGACCACATGAGGCTTTGGGGGACATCAAGACACAGCCATGACAGAGTTCCAATTAATATTTCTTCCAGCATCTCCTAGAATGATGTGACCAGCACCCTTTGAAAGAAGACCAATATTTTGAAGTAAAGGTTAGGGTCTAATTTTGTGTGGCTGGGCTTTAAGCATCCAGTACTAAGGAGAAACATTTTTAAAGTTCTCTGTTTCCCATCTCAAGTGCTGTTTTGTCTGTCGATCTCTGTAGTTCCTGTGCCATATATTTTGTTAGATATGTAAATTTAAATGTATTTATATTACTACATCCATGAAAAAGAGAAGCCTTCCACAAAATGCATTCAAACGGTGCGAGTCCAAGGACAGAGCAGTCGGCAAGGCTCTCTGCACCCCTTGTGTCCTCAGGACTGGGTCCCCCCTGCACCCTCAGCAGCCCTTTGCCTGGTTTGTCTCAGGGCATTAGCAGGGACCAACCCTGAGCCACTTCCTGGCTCCCAAATGGACGCTGTCCTTAAGAGAAGGACGTGTTATCCAGGTAAAGGCTGCGCCGCCTCAAGGGCCTCTTGCCAGGCTTGGTCCTTGCGTATTTTTCTGGGCCTGAGGAGCAGCGATGGAAATGGGTCCTGGGTTCTGCCACCGGCTGATGAGAAGCTCTGGCTGTCACAAAGACAGATATCACTGTGGACCGGGCCGCGCTGTGCTCCCTGCACGGCACCGTGGGAGGACACGGCAGCAGCCCGGGCAAATGCGGCCTTCGGGTTGTTCTGACAGCAGCTGTCTCTCAGATGCCAACGTCCTGGGACACACAGAGCCTCCCGGACCCCTGTGCATAGGCAGCTGAGCCCTTTCCAGCCCTGGGGTGGGGGCCTTCGCAGGGCTGTCAATTTCTCTGTGGGAAACCCCCCATCTCCTCAGTGACAGCGCCCACACCACCTGCCTCTCCCGTGCTGGGGAGGAGCAGAGCAGGAGGAGCCGCACGCGCTGGAGCAGAGAGCTCAGTACTGTCACGGGGCTCCCAGAGCTGCAGTTACCTCTGTCATCGTCCTATGCTCCCAGGGAAAGAGGTGGGGCAAGATCGGACCCGAGACCCCATGCACTCCCTCACCGCCCAGAGCAGGGAGTAGCCCACCGCGTGTCCAAGGTACCCCTGGATGAGGATCCGCACCCCACGGGGCCCAAGGGCTCCTGCTCTGAGCCATGCAGGCCTGGCTGGTGTGGCACCTACCCCGGAGGTGGAGCTGGTACGGGGGGGGGGCAGTGCGCGCAGAAACCCCGCTCCCGCCCAGGCCACGCCCCCAGCCAGCAGCGGGGCCCTGAGGAGCGCTGACTGCTGTCCAGGGTGGCCCAGCTGTCGTGCACCCGTGTAGGACCCGCTGCCTCTCCGTGGCTACCAAGTCCAGGTGTGCTTGACCCGGAAGCAGGAAGCCCTGCCGCGCAGCAGGGCTCAGGAGACCTTGGTCGGCAGCCTGGACAGAAGCTGCCACTTCGGGGCCACACGTAACACAGCACACGCATCATGTGTAGGGTGTGATCACAACGTAGGATGAATGTTTAAATTTTAAAGGAAATGTATTACAGCCAAAGCGCATTACCATGAAGCGCTCACACCACCCCTCATGTGAGCACTGACCCGTCATCCTTGCCACTTTCTGAAGCAGCTCTGGAGCCCTGTATTGTGTCTTCGTGTGGTTGCCTCGATGTCCTGAATCAACTCAAAATGTTACAGCAGTTTCTGTCAAATAAAAGCAGGACGCCATGTCCATCCACCTCATTCACTGCATCTGGCGCTGTGCGGCTCCAGCTCTCCCAAGTCCCGCTGACTGTGGATCTCCCTGTGCCCCGCTCACGCTCACCCCACACGCAGGCACGCAGGTCTGCCGGGGCCCTGAGGACAGTGGGGTCCTGCTGCGTGTGGACTCCGCGAGTTGAACCTGAGCCGTGCCCTCCCCAGGCATTTCCAGAGGGCAGTTCATTAACTCAGGGTCAGCCCAATCCCTAAGTGCTCTCCCTGTCTCCTTGGTTTCCCCAGAAGCGAGGAAGCTGCCGGAACCACTGACGAGGACAACCTGCTCGTCACCGGACGCCTCCACAGCACCCTGGCAGAGCCCGACGGGGGCCTGGACGGTGAGTGGGACCCGGGTTGGTAGTGCAGTGTGGTGTCGCCTCAGAGCCCCGTTCTGAGCACACATCCGTGAGACACACAGGCGCTCTCCCAAGGAGCTGCCTCTGGGGGATCTGGACTTGGAGCTGGACCGGCTCCTGCTGGGCTGCCTCTCCCCTCAGCTTCCAGCAGCACCAGGGAGATGTCTAAACAGCCGCTTAGAGTGTGCTCTCAAGCCTGACGTGGAGGTGCAGGTCTGTAATCTCAGCCCTCTGGGAGGCTGAGGCAGGAGGATCAAGTTTGAGCCCAACCTTGGCAACTTGGCGACTGAGTGAGACCCTGTCTCAAAGTAAACAGGAATAAGGAATTTGGGTATGCAGCTCAGTGTGGAGGCCCTGGGTTCAAAATAATACTAATTTTGTACATTAAAAAGAATTTCACACGCATCACAGAATGCTCTAGAATGCCCAAATGTGTTAAAGAAACAGAATGCCACAAAGATAAGCAATGTCTTTTTATTTGTATTTTCTTGATTTGGATCTCATTATGTAATTCATGCTGGTCTTGGATTTTTGATCCTCCTGCCTCAGCCTCCCAGGTGTTGGCATGGTAGGTGTGCACCACCATGCCTGGCTTTGAACAACTGTCTTTATGAAGACTTGTAACTCTTTACTTGCTAGTGTGTGGCACTTCTCTCGGCGGGAAATACATAACTTCTTGTCCACAGTAAATCCATTTATAACAGCACCCCCCCAGGAACATAAGTCTCTTGATTTGGGGGAGATGATACTGTAAAGCCAAAGCAAATGCAAAAAGTTTCAGTAAACAAGTGGGAAGTGTTTCCGACGAAGGAGCTGTGCGCTAGTCTCCAAGAGGCACCTTGCACATAAACTAGAAGTGGGCTGCTGGCCAAGCCCTGGAACTGCAGCCGTCCACACACGGGCCTCACGCTGAGTGATGAACGGTGAGGCTTAGGCCCCAGGGACACGCAGACCACGACTGTCCTGACATATGAGCAACGTGAGTTACGACTGGAATTTTAGTTTTAACTTACAAAGAAAGTCTTGAGTTACGACCCGGATACTGGCCGCTTGTGCTTCCAGATGGTCTCGGCTACAGATCTAACCCTTAGAGAGCTCTGGAGGGAACATCACAGCCAGCGTCCTGTCCCTGCGGGGCGGGAAACCCTGGCCGTTGTCTCTAGGACACTGGGATCCACCTGTGCACAGGAGAGAGACTCAGGGCTGTGTAAGGAGCCTGGGCCTCAGCTGACCAACCTGAGTTACAACCGGCCCTCGGAACCGATCCAGTTCCTAAGTCGAGGGTCCACTGTCCCCAATCACCCTTTCCAGGCTCAGGAAGCCGCCAGCAGTCGCGGGACTCGCTGTCCCCGGGTGGCCGCTGTGCCCTGCGTGACCCGCGCTGTCCTTGCAGGGATGGAGGGTAGCCCCGGCGCGGACGGCAGCGCGGCGACCCAGGGCAGGAGCGGCGCGTGGAGCCCCAGCGCGCAGGGCTGGGCCGCGGGCGCGGACGCGGTCCCGGTGACGTTCATCGGGGAGGTCTCGGAGGAGCCGGGCCCGGAGGACTGCGGGCTGTGGCCCGACCAGAGCAACGGCGCGGGCCCTTCGGACGCGGGCCCTGGAGCGGCTCAGCGGGGCGCGGGGGCCCCCGGCTGGAGGGAGCCGGGCCGCCGAGCTCCCGCCCCGCGCGCCGTCCCGGGACCCCCGTCGTGGTGTCGGCGCGGGCAGCCGGCGGCCGGGCGCTGCTGGCGGGAGCCGGGCCTCACCACCTACACGATCGTCCCGTCCCATGCGGAGCGGCGCCCTTACGCCCGCGGCGCTTCCCCGCCCGCCGGCGCCCTGCGGATCGACGAGCTGGGCAACCTGGTGGGGGTGCCCGGGGCCCGGGCGGCCGCGCCCGCCGCACCCGGGGTGGACTCCGAGGAGCAGCAGCCCGGGAAGGTGAGGGAGTTCTGGAGGCGCGGCCCGGGCGCGGGCTCCGCCCAGCAGGCCCCGAGCCCCAGCCCGGCAGCCAGGGCGCCCCCCAGCCCCGCCTCGGCGCCCGCGCAGCCCCCGCCCTCGGCTGCCTTGGCCCGGGCGCCACCGCTGCGGCCCCAGCGCAGGACGTCCAGCCAGCACGTGGCCGCGGCCATCGCCCGGCGCATCGGAGCCGGGCCCGCGGGGCAGCGCGACGACAAGGCCAGGGGCCCGCCCGGGTCCCCGCAGCCGAATGGCGGCCCCCGTCTCAGCAGCGCCGTGCCGGGCAGGGCGTCCAGGGAGGAGCCTGCAACCTTGAGGCGGGGCTGCGGCCCCCAGGAGGAGCCCTGTACCCTCGACCTCGGGACCAGCACGGTACCCAGGGCCCCACACTCCCCGGACCCGGCCCACGCGCCCGTGCCCCACAGGCTCCCGGCCACTGGCTCTGCCCAGGCCCCCACACGCGAGCCTCCGAGCTGTCCCCGGGTGCCTGGCGCCCTGGAAGCCGAGGCCCAGCCCTGCCCGGCCCCAGCTGCGAGGCACGCGGACTGCTCCTTGCCAACCGGCATCTTCGGGCCGAAGAAGAAGTTCAGACCGGTAGCCCAGAAGCCTGTCCGGAAGGACACGTGCCTGCACAGCGCGCTGATGGACGCCATCCACGCGGCCGGCGGGAAGGACAAGCTCCGAAAGGTGAGCAGCTGGGGACAGGCAGAGGGCATGGGCCCAGCATATGTGTGGGGTGAACACCCAGGTCTGCCCTGTCCCTCGCCTCCACTCCAAGGCCGGGGTTGGGGGTTGTGGCTTGTTTGGCCCTGGTGCCCTGTGGGAAAGGAGGAAATGTCCTGTTGGGATGAATGTCCCTATCCAAGACCGGGGATGCACAGGCCGGAGTGGTGCGGGCAGAGGTGCACTAGTCAGCTCTCTGCTACTGTAACAGTGCCCGAGCTGGCCAGCTTCAAAGAAGAAAGGGCCACTGCTCCACAGCTTGCAGGATTCAGGCCGTTCCCTCCAGCCCGAGGGCCAGGCGAGGCAACACACGGTGGGAGGAGTCATGGACAAGCACAGTGCCCCCCACACATGGTCAGGGAGTCCCCACACATGGTCAGACAGCTCTACTGTCCTGGTCACTGCCCATGACCTCTGACCTCCAGCATGGCCCTGCCTCCCAAAGTCCCACCCACCCAGCGAGCCAACCGAGGACCAAGCTTTCAGCTCAGGTCTTGGGGACATTTGAGCCCCAGAGGTCAGCACACTGCAGATAGGAAGTGGGAGCCAGAGAACCCAGCTTCCCCACACTGTCCCAGGTACACACGGACCCATCACGGAGCCTGCACCCACCTGAGCCCACACGGTGGGGGTGACGCGGCCTGGGCAGGGTCAGGAGAGGCGGGGACCGGAGGTGTCACTCCATGGTGCCCTCCGTGAGCCTGTGACTGCAGGGTGAGGACAGCGTCCCCAGTGACAGGGCTCCCAGCTCTGTCCACATGGTCCTGAGGCTTGCGGCGCTGCAGTGGGGTCTGCCACTGAGCAGTGACGCTCCCAGCCCACGTGCTGGCGTCAGACACAGCAGCGCTGTCACCGCTGTGTGGAAACTGAGGTGCACGTGCCGATGCCACATGGCCTGGCCCAAAGTCACCTGGCAAAGACAGGGACCAGGCCAGGGACTCTGACCTGGCAGGCAGACAATCTCTGGTTCTTACTCACCTGCTAGTCCCTCGCTGTCCAGTTAGACCTCGGGGAGCCCAGGAAGGAGAAAAGCATGAGCAGGCAACAGTGAGGTCACGCCTGTCATCCCAGCACTCTGGGAGGCCAAGGCAGGAGGGTCACAAATTGGAGCCCAGTCTGGGCAACATAGTGACTTAGTGCGACTCTGTCTCACAGTAAAAAATTCCACAAGGGCTGGGGATAGAGCTCAGTGCAAAGGCTCTGGGGGCAATCCTGCTAGTACAGAAAGGAAGAAAAAGAAGAGGAGGAGGAGGAGGAGGAGGAGGAGGGAAGAGACAAAGAAAAGGAAAGGAAGGAAACACATTCTGGACTCCTGACGAAGCACGCTATCCTGAGGTGGCTCCCTTTGGGTGAAATCATCTCAGACCCAACTTCATAAAAAGCCAGCAGCGCCTGTGGTTTATTGGCGGCTGCACCAACAGGAGAAGCAGGGTTGCGGAGGGCGGGAGTGGGTTTGGAGCTGGGTGTGGAGCACACGCCCGGGACCCCTGTGGGGTCTTGGCCGTAAGTGTACCCATTGCCTTTCCAGACAGCAGAGCCCCCCGAGGAGCGTGGGCCCCGGACGCTGTCCTACACAGAGGCAGACAGTGAGCGCTCAGCCCTGCTGGCGGCCATCCGGGGGCACAGTGGCACCCGCAGCCTGCGCAAGGTAGGGGGCTCAGGGCACAGGGCTGGGCACCACCCACCTCCCCCACAGCCCACAGATGCTGTCACTCTGGGGAGCAGAGCAGGCACCGGCCTGCCGCAGGTGAGCAGAGCACTGCTTCTGCACCAGGCCGGGCAGGCAGGACCTGGGCTCAGGACGGCACCGTGTCCTGGGGTTTCAGGTGGGGTCAGAGGGACAAGGCGATTTGCATGTCACTCGTGCAGCACTGGGCATCTCCTGTGTCCAGAACTCAGCCAGATGCTTCTGCTCTCGCGGGCCGAGGGAAGTGGGGTCCGAGGTGCGGCCTGGCCCTGTGCCTGGGACAGGGCCGCTCAGGCCAGGTGTCTGAGCCACAACTCCCTGGGCCCACACAGAGGGGCTGGAGGCCAGGGCAAGACAGTCGCTGGGAGCTGTGCCCTTGGGAGCACCTCTGGGGATGCTCGCCATTGGGTCCACCCTGTGCTGACGGCACTGCCCAGGTGGTTGGTAGAGAGGCGGATCCTGCACCAAGCCTGAGGTCAGGGCCAGCAGGGTGGGTCCAGCAAGGCCCTTCCTGGCCCCCAGGTGGCGCCCTCCCATCCTCCCCTGTGGGGCCCGCAAAAGCCCCTCGGGTCTCTCCGGTGCCAACCCGTGGAGCCTGCTGTCCTCACCTGGTCACCTTCCTGTGGCCTGGCATGCAGACGGGATTCCAAGGTGGCAGGGCCAAGGCAGTGGCGGTCACTGCGTGTCTTGTTGCCAGGTGTCCTCTTCGGCCTCCGCAGAGCTCTGGGGCTGCTGGGCTGCAGTGCCTCCTGAGGCCCCTGGGCCCCTGCCGATGCCCCAGGCTCCCCCTGCACCCATGACGGCCCCCAGGACCAGCTCAGGGCCCCTCGGCGACGCGGTGGATGCACGGCAGGCCCTGCTGGATGCCATCCGCTCTGGCTCTGGCGCCGCGAGGCTGAAGAAGGTGAGTGGGGGTCAGTGCTGTGGGCAGGATGGGCAGGGAGCGACCACGAGGCCTGCTCCGGGGACGGCACCCGGGCTGCAGCTGGGGCTGCCCAGGAGCAGGGGCTGGGGCACTGGGGCCTCCTGTGCCCTCCCTTCCGCCTTCCCTTTTCCTCCTTCCACGCCTCTTCCTGCAGCACAATGCTTGGCTGTCCCAGGCCGGGCCCCTGTGTCCTGCTCTCCCTGCCCACTCCCTAAGATGCTCCTCGCATTCCCTTCCTGGCCCGGTGGAGGGCGTGGCCCTGCCATGAGAGCCACAGGTGTAAGGGCCAGTCGGACGGCCTGTGCCCAACTGTGAGCGATTCCTTCCCAGGCCTCTGTGCTGCCCACGCCTCCAGCTGGGGGAAGCACCCTCTCTGGGGGGGCCAGTGTCGCCCTCCTGGGCCACGCTGGCTCCCGAGTGTCCTTCCCTGGAAATGGTCGGCACCAGAGTGCCTCTGCGTTTGTGCAGAGAGCGTGGCTCAGGGCCAGGCTGTGCGGTATTGGTCACCACAGACAGGACTCAGTGCAGAAGGTGCTGGTCACTTGGCCCAGGCTGTACGCCCTACAGGGAGGAGGTGGTGACTTGCATGGTGCTGCTCCTGCCACTACAGAGGAGCAGAGGCGGGTGGGTGGGACCCGCACGGCCGGCAGTCCCGGCTCTGAGCCCTGCAGCAGCGCACACGGGTGACCTGGGGGCATCAGTGACTCCCAGGCTCACCCAGAGCTCCCCAGCTGTAAGCAGGGACCCAGACATCCCGTGCAGGGCTCGAGCTGGCTGCAGGGACAGGTCCCCGCCCGGGGTGCGGGAAAGCACCCCCCTCGAGGGGCAGCCAAGCCCAGTGCTCTCCGGGAAGAGCAGCAGCTAACACGCTGTGGGGCCGCCTGGCTCCTTCCCTTGCTGCTCTCCCACTTCTACGGAATTGTGCACAGACAAGGGGGAGGGAAAGTGAGGAAACTGGAGGAATGGCTAGAAAGGGGTCATAAAACAGCCCGCGTGCTGGCCAGGTGGCCCATCTGCACGCTGGGTGGCTGAGACAGGAGGACTGCACGTTCCAGCCCAGGCTGAGCAACTCAGCAGTTTAGTGAGACCCTGTCTTCAAATAAAAATAAAAGGGCTAGGGATGGAGCTCAATGCAGAGGCCCTGGGTTCAATCCCCAGTGCTGAAAAAAACATTACATCTATCTACACTGAACCCTCCCTGCATGCTCTGTCGCAGCCCAGGGAGCAAGGTGGACGCTGTGCCCTGCGCTGCTCACTACCCGGACGAGGGCCGATGGCCAGGACCTCTCTGGGCCCACGCCCCACGGCTGCCAATTTCCCACACAGCACAACTGGGGCGCAGCCGGGTGTCCGTCCCTTGGCCCTGACCTTGGCTGCAAGGTGGGGAGACCGCCAGGCTGTGGGGAGCCCCAGCAAGGACAGAACAACAGACCCCTCCAGCCTGGAGAAGCGGAGTCCGGACGGGAGCTGGGTCTGTGTGGGACGCAGCCTGACACTGATGCAGTCGCTCCACGTGAGCCCCGTGCACCCTCCGCTGTCTCAGCTCTGATTGGAGCGGTTTCCAGCTGCAGGGGTCAGCTGGGCTTTGCTGACTTTTTCAATTTTAAATTCATTGATTGGCTGGAGTCCCAGGGATCAAACCCAGGGTTTTCACACTGAGCTCATTCCCAGCCCTTTTCACTTTTTATTCAGAGACAGGGGCTTGCTAAGTTGCTAAGCTGCCCAGGCTGGGCTCAGCCGGACGATCCTCCTGCCTCAGCCTCCCAGCATGCTGGGATGAGGGGCGGGCACAATGGCCGGCTCCAGGCTGACTCTTGTGTAGGACCGTTTTCCGTGGCCGTTCTCCCCAGTCACCTTTCTAGTCTGCAAGGGGAACCAGGGAGCTGCCTTGGGGCCACAGATACAGAGCCACCCTGGAGCCTCACAGACGCACCCCCACGCTTCTGGCACCCCACCCCTGCACACCCCGGGAACCCCCAGTCCCAAGCCTCCTGGCTGGCTCAGTCTCCCTGTGCAGCGTCCCATTCTTCCTTCCACCCGCACACCGGCCCGAGGAACCACTGCCCCCAGTGGACCTCTCCCCCAGGTCCCGTCACCTCGCTCATCCCTCCTCTTCTCCCTCGCCTCCCCTGGGCAGGCCAGGAAACAACACAGGACTCTGGGAGCTTTCCCAGCTTCCTCCGCGTGTGTCTATGGCAAAGCCTGACCTTGTACCCTTTTCTTTCTGTCCAAGCCGGAGGTCACCATAGCCCAAGTGAGGCCTGGGCACTGCGCCCCACCCTGCCCCTCTGCACAGGCAGGGCCCGGACAGCAGGGTCCCGCCCAGCGTGGACAGCAGTCACGGAGGCAGTGGGCACCGGGCATCAGCGTGGCCTTGTGCCCGGTGTTGCTGGCCGTCTTCCGGGCCGTCCTTCCTTTCCTCTGAAGCATTTCATTTCTCAGTCCACGTCTGCGTGCGTAGCGACTGTGGCCCTGGTGTGGTGCCAGTGCACACAGCATGCTTTGTCCATCTCCCCGACAGAAGGCAGATGGGTTCTCAGGTCCCCTTCACCTCCAGGCCTTGTGTGGCTTAGGAGAACTCAGGCGAGGACGGAAACCCTGCTAGTGGTTTTCAACTCTTACTCATGTACACCCATGTCCACAGCCCGCCGTGATGGTCGCCACTCTGGGGCGCTGCTGCATGGACACACACCAACCCTTTCACCGCCCTTTCTCCTCCCTCCCCGCTCCATCTCTGGTTCCTTTCCCACATCCAAAAGATCTGTCTCCCTACTTGCTATTATCTGTCTTTTATTTTGCTTTTTATTTATAATTTGGGTTTCTCCTATAAGAGAAGCCATGGAATATTCAAGCTTGTGCATCTGAGTTACTTCACTTAACATTATGGTCTCAAGGTGCATCCATTTTCCTACACAACAGTTTATCCTTCTTTATAGCTGAGTAATACTCCATTGTGGGTAAATATTGCATTTTCTTTATCCATTCCTCTGCTGAAGGACATGTCAGCCCCTCCCAAGATTGAGCTGCTATAAGCATGGGTGAGCATAGATCACTGTAAAGTGATGAATTTAGCTCTCTTGGGAAGATACCTACAAGGGGAGTAGCTGGGTGGACTAGAATTCTTTCTGGGCCCACTTTCCTTCCTGTTCTTCTGCAGTTCCCTTTCTTATGCCAAGTTTCAGGGACCCTACTTGCCCCTTCTAAGAATTTTCTTCCTTCACCGAGAACTCTTCCAGTTCAGGTTCCTGTGGGATCAGCTGTGCCCAGGTCAGGGCGGGACAGGCCGACACAGCTGGCTGGGCCAGACCTGGGAGGGCGGAGGGTGCGCGCTCCTCCCTCTACCATCCTGTGTGTGCTGCCCTGTCTCCTGAGCCCTGAGCGGTGGTGAGGCGGCAGCCCGGAGATGCCCGGGTGCCTCACAGCCTGCAGCCGGCCTGGCCACCTCCACTGTGTCCCAAGGCCGGGTCTGGTGAGTGCTGCAGCCTATGTGTCCTGCTGGCCAGCCCTGCCTGTGCCTCTGGGAGTGGGGAGGAAGCTGAGCCCAGGGGAGAGCGGGGTCCAGAGCCCTGCACTTGCTCCTTCCGTGTGGGGGACGCAATGACCACCATGGCGTCCAGCAGACACACGGGGACACTGCAGCAGGGGTCTGCACACCAGACCCACCCAGTGCGTGAGGACTTGGTTACAAGCGGTCTTGAGGGGATGTGCTTCCCCTGAGGTGTGTATTTCTCTCTGTGAACACTGACCTGACAAGCAACTATAAAAATGAAACTCCAGTGATGCGCGCAGGGAGGTGTTCAGGAGCGGTGTGTGTCCGCTGGTGTCTGGCACGCACCTCAAATGCATAAAATTCCATGTGGGTGGGCAGAGGACGGGAGGGGACAGGCAGGAGATCCAACAAATGCAGGGAGAAGCTGTCACAGTCCTGGGGAGACGCCAGGTGTTTTCTGTGCATTATTCCAACTTTCACTGTCTGAGAAATTTTTCACAACAGAATGATAGAAACAGTTTTATGCAACAACAACAAAATGGGGCTTATCGCAAAAGTCAGAGGACGAGACAGCTGTGGACGGGGCTTCCCACCACAGCTATACTGATGAAAGTTCCTTTCCAGCCCTGAAGGCATAAAAATATCTGTAGGAAGACAAAGCACCCAGCACCCCAAGGTACGACTGACCATGCCTGGCATCCAACTGAAAATTGCTAGGCAAGCAGGGGGTGGGGCACCATGAGAGGCAGAGGTTGGAATGGGTCAGAGCTGCTCTGAAAGGTCTTGGGTGCCGGAACTGGTGTAACTGGTCAAACAGTCACCGTAACTGTGTTTAAAGTTGCAAGAAACAAAAGTGTTCTGTGGTTACAACAAGGTGTAACTAGAAATTAATACCAAGCTGACCTCAGGAAAAACCCCAAATACTGGGACAACACACTTCCCAACAACCCACAGAATCAAAGGGAAATTAAAGTGCTTTGAAGTGAAGGTTAACTTAATGTAAAATACGCACTCCACAAAAGCAGTCCTTCAAGGAGAATTTTGAACTACTGTGTTATTCCAGAGAGACAGACCCCCCCTTCCACCTGCAGAAACTAGAGAAAGAAGAGCAAAACTAAAACCTAAAGTAAGCTGAAAAGAAGAACTAGTAAAGGTCAGAGCAGAAAGCAATGAAATAGAAAGAGGAAAATGGTAAAGAAAAATCAATTAAACCAACAAGCTGCTCTATAACAAAACCGATAAAATCCATAAGCCTGCAGACAAATACAGCAGGGAAAGAGAAAGGACAGCTTGCCTTGTGGAGGCAGCAACCTGATGGTATCGCCACAGGTGCCACCACCGGTAAGAGGGGTGTCGTGAGTGGCTTTATGCAGCAGACAGGTAATTTTGTTCTGTTTCTCTTTGGAAAACACAAACTTTTATTTAATGCTATAGAACAGGTAGCAAATTGAATTATTAAGGAGCCAGGCGAAGCGCCATCCGTGCCCCAGTATTTCTGATCATTTTCAGGCTGTGTGCCTCTGCTGATATTTACAAAATGAAACGGAAGGCTGAACCAGAAACTAGGGAAAGAGTTTCTCTACAGGGTAGAAGAAATAGGTATGGGACTCTTGAAAATGACTTGTACATTTTAAAAAATTAAATAGATGGGGGAAGCAGACTTGCAGTTGAATACAAAAGAAGCAAATGAGCCTGACTGCATCTATCACGCTGACAAGCTATCTTAAACCATAAAGTGCAAGCTATGAAAACTACAGAAGTTGACAGTCCACTCAAGAGGAAATACATGGCTGGTTGTCGTAGCACATACTTGTGACCCTAGCACTGTGGGAGGCTGAGGCAGGAGGATCCCAACTTCAAGTGCATCCTAGGCAACTTGGCAAAACCCTGTCTCAGAATCAAAGGGCTGGGAATGGAGCTCACTGCAAGGCCCCGGGTTCAACACCCAGTCTCTCCCCTCCCCTGCCCTCCTGTCTCTTCTAGGCCCAGGTGGCTTCTGCAGTGAGTTCCACAAACATGTAACCGACATTCATTCCAAAACTTGACAAGGACAGAGGACTTCTCAGCTCATTCTATGGGGCCGACATCCCTGGTTCCAAACTCAGACAAAGATACTGCAAGAAAGAAAACAGTATATAAAGAGTCTAACCTGTGATGACCAGAAGGGCTCATCCTAAGAATGCAAGGTTGAGCTAACTCTAAAACAGCTCACTCGTCACAATTAACAAACTAAACAATAAAAACTCATGATCATGTCAATAGTCACATTAAAGGCATTTAGAACTCTCCAAGAACTCTCTGTAACGTTCTCAAACTGGATTACCATTACAAGGAAGGAAGGAAGGACTTATGTTTACATGCAATGGCATTTTATTTCTATTTATGTGTAGTTTTCCACATCAGTTATACAGTTAAAAACAGTAAATGTAGGTTTTCTTTGAGGATCTAGAGATCGAACCCAGGGGTGCTCTACCATTGAGCTGTATCCTCAGCCCTTTTTGACTTTTTGAGACAGAGGGTCTCGCTGAGTTACCCAGGCTGAGTTGGGACTCGGGATGCTCCTGCCTCAGCCTCCCTCAGTGCTGGGGTCACAGGCCGCAACAGCACTACCCACTGCAGACTCTGAGGGTCGCCCTGTCCCTGAGCCCCCTTCCTCCTCCAGCCCTCTGCCAGTAGCTGGCACTGCTCCTGTGGGTTTCCTGAAGGCTGCAGTCAGGTGGTAAACTGAGTCTGGGCAGACAGACTTCCCTGCCCCTGGGCCTCTGCTCTGTGGTGAATTTCTGAGCTGGTTCTGGAGCAGAGAGAAAGCCCTGGCACGGAGGCGATGGGAGCCTCCCTCCTGAGAGGCCAGGCGTTGGGAGGGACTCTGCCCTGCCTCAGGGCATTTCTGCCCTCTGGTGCCCGCTGGAGCGAGCTGCCCCCTGCTTTCTCTGCCCTCCTCTCTGGGCAGTGTTCCTGCTGCCCTCTTCATGTGGCCCTGGACTCCGTCCGTCTGCTTCTCCTTTCCCTTGGTCCCCTGGGCTCCCCAGCCTGCTGCTCACTTCCCACAGGCAGGACCTGTGGTTCTTCCACCCGTTCACACCCAGCACTTACTGCTCACTGGGACCGTGTGTGCTAGGGTGGAACTCGTCTGGCCACCCAGGGCCCCTTTCCACAGGGACAGGGAGGCTGGGCCCCCACCCCACAGGCCAGAGGTATTAGTCAGCTTTCCTATCTCCAGGACAGAACGCCCAAGCCCACACCTTAGAGGAGATGTGTGTTTGGGCTCACAGTTTGAGAGGGTTTGGTTCATAGCTGGCTGATTCCAAGGCAGAAACTGTGGTGCAAGGGCCTGGTGGAGGAGAGATGCTCACTGCATGGCAACCAGGAAGTGGGGAGAGGAGGAGGAGGAGCTGGAGACAGGAGCACACCCTCCCAAGTCACCCCAGGGACCCCTGAAGCCAGGCCCCCCTCCTACAGTGTACTCAGCCCTGAATTCATCCATGATGAGCCACTGATGCACACAGCCCCATGATCCGTCACCTGCACACACAGGAGGCGCCGGGGGCATCCTGGATGGGGCAGCAGTGGTGCTGGGCGTGCACAGGGCCTGACCATGCCCACTCTTCCTGCTGTACTGCAGGAACTGGCTCGGCAGCTGGCCTCTGCCCAGTGCCCTCTACACTGGACTGGCAGGCAGAGCTCCTGGTCGCACCAGCCTGCGTAACTGTGTCCATCTCGGTTGTAGGTGCCCTTGCTTGTGTGAGCCACCAAGAGAGGTTGGACCATGGCAGAAACCCACCGAGGATCCCAGGACCATCACCCCAGGCCCCACACGGCGAGGAGCAAGCCTTGGGCCACTCTGCCCATGGCCCAGTGTGCGGTGGACTCACAGAGGCCCTGCGGCCTTGCTTGGCCACTGTGCCGAGAAAATAAACGTGCTCTGCCTCTGAAACGTGAAGTTGCCAATGAACAGCCCGGCTGGCGGTGACAGGAGTCCCATGGGAGCCCACAGTGGTCCTGATCCCATTTCTGGGCCCAGCGAGTGGCCTCATGCCGTAGGTGTACTTGGACCACACAGAGACAGTTGGAATCATTTACTTGCTGACAATACGGGCTCGAGGGGCAAAACCAGAAACCAGCGGAAACAGGCAGGGTCCCGGCTCCCTGCTGCACTGGGCACTAAGAAGGCGGGAGCTTTTCCAGAGCCAGCCTCTGCGGAGCTGTGACACTGTTGGCTTCCAAGTCCTCACAGGTTCTCAGACCCTGGTCCAGCCCCGAGAGGCCCACTGGGTCGCGGGGACGGCGGGCATCCCGGGTCCTCCGAGGTAACACGGGCTCTGGAGGCCAGGCCTGGCAGGTGTCCCGCAGCTGTGAGGTCCAGAAGTCTAACCCTGACCCAGCTGGGTATCTGCTGTCCCTGCCATCCGTCCATGGGTCAGACTGACGCTGTGCTTGGTCAGTCACCACTGGGCTCCCAGCTCCGTGCACTCCCCAGCTACGAGGCCCCAGCCCCGGATTTAAAAGGAGGCTGAACCAGCATGGCAGATTTCCACGTGTCTCTCCAAACTCGCCCTGTGCAGCAAAACCACACCAGTCAGAAACCAAAAGGACCTCGTAAAGTAAAATCTCTGTCAGCGAAAAAGTGCATCATGGCAAGGCTTCGCCGCTGTCTCTGACCCGGGCCCGGTGGGTGGGTGCTGCTAAACCTGCCGGCTGTGGAGGAGCTGCGGCCTGCCGCTCTCGCCCACAGCTGTCACTGTTTCTTTCAGTGCCACAAATAAACAAAGATGGAATCATCGCCGGTGTGTGGGTGTCATGGGATGCAGTTGGGTGCACCCCCTGCAGGATGGGAGGAGCGCTTGTTTTTACTCAAGCAGCACTCTGGGAGGCTGAGGCAGGACAATTGCAAGTTCAAGCCCAGCCTAGACAACTTAGCAAGAGCCTCTGTAACATGACAAAAAGGGCTAGGATGTCACTCAGTGTGAAGGCCTGGGCTCAGTCCCCAGGAGAGAAAACAATAAGAGAGGCCCAGGACCTTGGACACAGCCACCTTAGCTAGCACAGGGTGTCTTCCTGCGGCGAGGAGAGTCCACCGTGTGGACCCGGGGCTCAGGAGGCCTGCGAGCCGCTGGGTCCTCGGGAGGCCACACCAGTCTCCCTCCCAGTCCCAGGCTGGCCAGGGCTCATGGGCGCCCCCAGGCAGCAGCCTCTGCCCCAGCCCCAGCGCCCATTCAGCCTCCTCAGGATTACTTGTTATTCATTCACTCATGCGATAGAACCCAGGGCCTTCACACGGGGCCACATCCCCAGCCCTGTTTTAAAATTTTGAGACAGAGTGTTGCCAAGCAACCCAGGCTAGGGTGGGACTCGAGATCCTCCTACTTCAGCCTCCCAGAGAGCTGGGATCACAGGTGAGCCCCACCGTGCCAGCTTCGCAGGGCCTGTTCCTGTGACTCAGGCTACCTGCACATGCAGGCTGAGAGGACCTGACCCTTTCGGAAGGACCCACCCAGGGAAGGAAGAATCCCTGCCCAAGCACAAGGCAAGAGTGTGAGGCTGCAGCCTTGCTGGGTTCCCACTTCATTTAGCTGCGGCCTCGAAAAGCTGCTGCTGCTACTCGACTTCATAACCCTCATTCCCCACCCTCCAGAAGTGCTGACCTTCGTGTATTTCCCCAAACACACTGTGAATTCACCCTTCCATGTCTTGTATAGAACTCCTATTCATCCCACAGAGCTCAGCGGCCTCCATACCCACCCACTGCACTGTGGAAAGGAACACCTCCCATTGCTGTGGTCGCTTCTCATTGGAACCCACTGAGTTTAGTAAGTGGGAGCCCCACAGCTGTGTGCTATTTGTAGGGGAGCTTCCTGGCTGGGGACACAGGCGAATGGCACAGGCCAGTGTGGAATGGAGTCGAATTCTGCCGAGGCAGCTCCACATCCAGGGAGGACTCCGAGCAGCAGGCACCCACCCAGTGGCTGGGCAGGCAGAGGGATGCTGCCATTTCCCGCTCCAAGACAGGCAGGGGCACAGGTGGTACGGGACGCCTCAGCCTCAGCCTGCACTGTGATGCTCTCCGCTGCCGGGGCCCAGGGCCTGGCAGTGGACGCCAGGAGGACCAGGGCAGGCGCCAAGGGACTGACCATGCCATAGGAGAGGGCCTGGCTGGAGGGCTCCTGGGGTGACCCGGGAGGCTGCACTCCTGTCCCGGCTCCTCCCTTCCCTCTGCTTCTGGCCACCGTGAGGCGAGCAGCTCTGCTCCGCCAGGCCCTTCCTGCCTTGGAGCAGTTGCCCAGAGATTACAGCTGGAAGCCATTACCCACCTCTCCTCCTGCTGTGGGTGTCAGGTGTTCTAATCCGGGCACAGGAAAGTGACTATGCAGAGCCACAGGATGAGCCCCAGGCATGACTGCCCAGGAGCAGAGCGAGTCAGGGGGGAGGGAGGATCAGCAGGGCAGGGGGAAAAGGGCTTCCAGGTCAACTCCAAGCCTGGAAGGTTCTAGGGCTGACCGTGGGCCCGAGGGCTGCAAGAGGAGCAAGAATCACAAACTGAGAAGTCACGAGGTCCCCATGGCCCCTGCAAGAGTGACATAATGGACACGGTCATTTAGTACACGGCGCCAAAGTTCATTGCTCTTATTACAACGTGGTGACAATGATAGAGCTTTTCTACCAGGCCTGGTGGCACATGCCAGTAATCCCAACCCTCAGGGAGGCTGAGGCAGGAAGATGACAAGTTTGACCCCAGCCTGGGCAACTTAGCAAGGCCCAGTTTCAAAAGAAAAATAAGAAGGGGTGGGAATGTAGCTCAGCGCAAGGGTCCTGGGTTCAGTCCCCAGTGCTGCCAGCACAAACAACAAAACAGAGAGGGACAGAGAGAGAGAGAGGGAGAGGGAGAGAGCTTTCCCTAGTTCCAGTGGCCACTGCGTTGTACCCTGGAGATCTAAGTCACCTCTTCCAGGCGGGAACCAGGAGCATTGGGGACGCCCACCCACCTCGTCCTCACCACCAGTCCCTCACCCAGTGCTGCTGTTTGCTTCACAACAGCCAAGAATGACTTTGTTCTGTCTGCATTTCCACTCCATAGCCAACTCTACCCTTCCAAACACGACTGTCAGCATCTCCCAGGTTCCTGAGCCAAGCGCCCCTCTCTTCTGCTCAGGTCTCCTCCTGATTACACACAACCCACTCACAACGTGGAGGACTGTCTGCTCTGATCAAAGTTGCCAATTTAAATGTTAATCTCTTCCAGATGGGGTAGTGGTGCACACCTGTGATCCCAGCACTCAGGAGGCTGAGGCAGGAGGATCACTGAGAGTTTGCGGCCAACCTGGGCTACACAGTGAGTTCAAGTCCAGCCTGAACTACATAGTGGGACTCTGTCTCAAAAACAAGATAAATAAATAAATGAAATAAAAGTCATCTCATCCAGAAACATCTGGAATAGCGCCTGGCTACCTCCTCGGGTACCAAGGCCCAGCCAAGATGACGTGTGAAATTAACCAGTGTGGCTCCATTTCTGCATGTTTAGCTTAACAGCTCTGCGGCCGTAGCTCACTTTGCTTTTCAGTTCACATGCTCACAATGACTAACAACACTGAACATTTTTCCAAGCGCCCACTCGCCAGCCACACCTGTCCTTGGACAAAGTGTCTCTTCAGATGTTTGGCCTGCTGTTCACTCATGATCTGAGTTGTTCCCGTGTTCTGGAAGTAAGTCCGTGACCACGCGAGGCGACTGCCAGTCTCCTCTCGGGAGCGCTACTCTGTGTGTGCAGCTGGTCATGGTCACTGTCATCTCTGTGTGTGAGACCCAGGCCACTCTCACCAGGTCCCAGCATCACTTACTCTTCTTCCACAGTTTTTAAATCAACTTGCTTCACTTCAGAAAAGAAGTGGTATTTTTATTGAGATAGCAATAAATTATAAAGAAAATTGGGGAAAAACATTATAATGTACATATATGTAGATGTGATATCCATTTGCCCATTTATTTTTATTTTATAGATTTCTGCATATAGTTTCTTTAAAATTAGGCTTATTCTAGCTTTATTTTATGAAATGTTTATGTTACAGTCATATTCGCTGTTCCATTGCATCTGCTAGAAGTTTTGTGGGTCTATGAAGATTACTGATGTCACCTTAAATTATGGTGCTGTTATAGCAGTATTCCTTATCAATTGTTTTGGTTTTGCAGAGATACAATGACATCGCTTGTAACTAGAGATAATTTGATCTCTTCCTTTCCAGTTCTTATGCTTCTAATTGCATTGGTTTAATGCACCAATGCAAAAACATAAGAGACGAGCAGAATTGTAGTCATCGTTCCACTCCCTCCCATGCACAGTTCTCTTTCCTCCTCCTCCTTTCTCTCCTTTTTCGTGATGGTGAAACTTCTAAAAGTTTCTCCATTATAAGAAAGTAGTGCCTTTTGAGATGAGTTATATAATTTTTTCTTTTTTTTTTTTTGGTACAGGGATCAAACTTGGGACCTTGCGCTTGCAAGGCAAGCAGTGGAACCACTGAGCTAAATCCCCAGCTATATACTTTTTTTAAAAAAATCTATCCATTCTCTTTCGTTAATTTCTTTTGTAAATCATGAATGTGTGTAGAATTTTGTTAAATGTTTTCTTGGCATCTATCAAATTGATAACAGAACTTTCTTCTTAGAATCTTAATATATTGAATTACATTAATAGAGTCCCTAGTCTTGAATCGCCTTTTCATTTCTGGAATAAGCTCCTTCAGGCTCACAATAAATGAGATGCTGGGTTCCACTTACCATTATTTTATTCGGTATAGTTGGATGGATATTAAGAAATGAGATTGGTCCACACTTACTTTTTCATATTTATTTGGCCTAATAGGAGCCTTCATGGCCTTCCTTTTGGAAAACTCTGGAATATTTTAGGTAGCACTGAAATTTTCTGGTGTTTGGTGACTTGGTAGAATTTCCCTAACATGGTTGGCGATGGTGCCTGGCATTCTCACAGCTTTCTCCGTTTCTTTTACGGGACTTGGTCCCGCCTAAACTCCCCGTCTCTCCTGGGTCAGCTTTGGGAGTGTGTTTTCCTCAGACGTTACCCGGGCTATCTTGGCTGTAAAATTTATTTGTACAGCATTCTGCTAAACATGTGACTTCTTTTTATTCCTTCTCTTTTAAGGGTCGTTTTCTCGTCAGCTCTTTATTTTGTGTACTTGTGTTTTGTGTTTTTCTCTTTTTTTAAAAAAAAATTAAGATGGCCATTCTTTTCAAAGAATGAGTGTTCTATTTTCTTTTTAGTTCTGCTGAGTTTTTCCTCTATGTAATATACTTCGACTGTTTTTGCTTTTTTCTTTAGTTTACTTTGTTGATTTTTCTATAACATTTTGACTTGGCAAATTATTCATGTTCTTTTTCTTTTTTACTGTAGTGTTTACTGCTATGAGTTTTATATTCTGTTGTATTGTGCTTCCATTATTGCTATTTTTGAGAAGTTCTGAAATTTTGTGTAAATTTTTTTCTTTTGAGCCATGAGTTGATAAATACCCAACAGTTGTTTAAAGAAATCACTTAAAATAATCATGTGAAAAAACAGTGAGGTGAGCCTGACATTCCCTGTCTCACTGCTTTAGTGAGTGTTTCTGCTTTAAGATTATGTCTAAATGCTGACATTTCATTAAAATGTAATGCTTACTTTATTGTATTTTGGCCAGGAGCATTGTGAGTAAATTTATTTTGGAGCTATTGAAGATTTTTGTATAAGTTCCAAAATATGGTCAATTTTTAAGCAAATCCCATTTGTACTTGGAAGGA